GTTGGAGTGGGGAGGGGGGTAACAACCATTATTGGGATGAGTATAATATTGATAAACAATAAAAAATATATATGCATGCACAATTAAGAAAGTATACGTAGTCAAATGTAACACATGTTCTATTTTAGATTACACTGTCTCAGATTCTAGTACTTTTATTAGACCGAGTCCAATCCGGGATTCGAACTCGCGCGCTCGGAGTCAGGCACCTAATGGCCAGCACACAAAATCAACTATCTAACCCCCACTCATAACTGAGAAAGTGTGATACCAAATATAATATGTTACCAAAATATCCATGTTTGATATACGCGTTGTCATATTTACTATTTCAAACTATATCCCACTATTTCAAGACCTCGTTCTGAAAATTGTTATGATTCCGATATTGGCGAGAACGGCAAGGCTGAAAACGGTATACGTCCATATGCTACAATCATGTTTACCAGCTATCATCTCCCCATATGTACTTCCGACCCTCAAGGTGCGGTGCCCACACAAAAAGCAGATAATTTGGCAATAAATATAAATATCGTGCATTAGTCTTGCTCTGTCACGCGGCACGAGCAGTCATAGATTATACATAATTAAGGTAACAAGGCGACAGAAAATGAGCCTTGAAAATATAGATCCAGAACATATTAATTCCAGATATGCAATTTCTCGAGTCGGCTGTTCATATCTGATACGCGCAGACCTGTTCCTAGTCGCTCCACACTTCAGTGGAACCAACAGGATTGTGTCCCCATTTCAATCTATTACAAAAGTACATACGAAAGATCTTAAGAGTGAGTGAGTGAGTTGAGATTTAAAGTCACATCGGCAATATTTCAGCCATATCGTGACTAAAAACAAGTAATAATTCTAGAATGCATAAAGGTAATTCTTTTTAAAAACCTGTTAGCGAAGGACAGTCAAATCAACTAGAATATCACAGATATGAATACAAAACCAGTACGTAACTCTAAAACGGCTTAATTATAGAGAAGACAATACAATATAAAAACAGGCTATAGATTGCCAACAAATGAAGGTAGATCACCATACTAGGGTCCATGGGGACTTACAGTACATTAGCTTCCTGCATGGACCCTAGCTGGGTTTACACCATCCCTTCAGATGTTAGCAGGTTTTGACAATCTAGCCATAAATTAAAATGACATATATACTGCGGTTACAAAAAGAAGTAAGTATAAATTTAATTTGAACGTTTTGGGACTTACGTACCCTCTTCGGGGAAGATCTTAAGAAAATACGGTACCTGTCATTGAAGATCGGTAAAGTATTGTGTTTTGTTTTCTTGTTGTTGTTTAACGCCGCACTGAGTAGCGGTCTGTAAATTATCGAGTCTGGACCAGACAATCCAGTGGTCAACATCATGAGCATCGATCTACGCAATTGAGAACGATGACATGTGTCAACCAAGTCAGCGAGCCTGACCACCTGATCCTGTTCGTCGCCTTTTACGACAAGCAATGGGTGTGTGAGGTAATTCTATTTTTTTCGAGGGCTTTTCAGATAGTCACCCCCTTCAATTTGTTTAACTGCAGAAGGGGTGTGGGGTGAGATGTGAGGTGTGTGTGGGGTTGGGGTGGGGAGGGGTGACAACCATTATTGGCATGAGTATATAAACGAGATAATTTCCAAGTTTTTGTTACATGTTGTTTTTTATGTAAATTTGTATAACATCAAAGTAATTATTTTGGTAGTCAGTTTACGTTCCTTTGTATTGGCTCTATTTGGAACATACCACGGAATACATTACCGGTACTGGGAGTGCCATAGAGATGGTATAATACATTACTTCCTTTCCAACATGTTTACGGAAGTCTCTCTGATGATGTTCATAGAATATAAGATAAACATATCAGGGTTGCCGTGGTAACTCGGAATATAAATAGGCTTTTAATGAGTTGCTTAAAGGACTTTCTTCCAAAAACCTTTGGTTGAATATTTTTGTGTTTTAACAGGGGCTGTAGGTTTAGTAAAAAATGCAGCTTCCTATTGTCCCATCGACATTTTGTGAGTGAAATATTTCAATTTAAAACTGTGAAGTTGGGAACCTGCGAACTGTCACTGAACCATTCCTGTCATTTAAGCCCATGAAACTGAGTGAGTTTTATTCATTAGAGAGTGAGTGAGTGAGTTTAGTTTTACGCCGCTTTAAGCAATATTCAGCAATATCACGGCGGGGACTCCAGAAATGGGCTTCACACATTGTACCCATGTGGAGAATCGAACCCAGGTCTTCGGCGTGACGAGCGAAAGCTTTTACCACTTGGCTACCCCGACTGCCCTTATTCATTTAAAAGAGAAGTTTGAGGTAGCAAATATGAAGACGCGTGAGCTGATTATAAAGTGTGGAGTAGGTTGTTTGTCGCAATTATGGAACTACTGCCAGTAGCTTGCAAACAAAAGCGTGTACGGTGGACACGATCAACGAAAGCGGATATAAACAAAAATATACAACACTCACGCTTAACCTGTAAGTCAAATTAGTTTAAGAAAGTGTCTTATGACACTAAGTAGGATCTAAAAGCAGGGATGCCCATGTACTCATGAACTTAAGTAGAATTGAAAAGAAACTGCCATTAATTTTTGTTAACATTTATAAAAGTTGCTTTTGTAATCTACCAACAAATAAAAAATCGTTTTGACTGAAATATTACTGACGTAATCAAAACATTCCAAGGCTGTCAACAGTTACAGCGAGTTGTATTGATGTCAACTTCTTTTGTACGAGTGAGTGAGTGAGTGAGTATTGCTTTACGCCGTCCCTCTATAATACGAAGGAGTAAATATATACTCCGAAACGTTGTGTTCCTCATAACAAAGAAGTTGACATCCACAAAACTCTCTTCCTCATGTGAATCACTGCTACATGCCATTCAAAGACCTGTTAACTTAATATCCAGAACACAACGACACTTATATCAAATGCCTTATCTTCAAAACAGCAAAGTGTGTTTGTTTAACTTCTTGCCACCATCAAACACGGAGTATACGTTCTTTTCCCAGACAGGTTGCATACAACATAACTAATATAAATCATTTTGAAAAATAATTATGTTGCTTTTACAGATTGATCAAAAACATAAAGAGATAAATACATGAACGTACGAACAAGAGTTGTAATGTAAAGTATAAACATGTATGTCATCATTCGTTACAGAATGTATATGGGTCATTCTCAAAATTTGCCCAACTTTTGGTCAGTAACACATTGCTCTGAAAATATTGTTTCAATTTTTAAAAAAAATTCATATTATGAAAGAAAAATGTATTTTGTTCCTCATAATGATGTAAAATGTTGTACCTGTTTGTTATATATAAGGAATTTTCAGAAGCACTTACCTGGATGATAGTTGGGAGAAATGTTGCTTAGTTCAGTCTCTTCCTGCTGCTGCCGTATATATCCCCGGGAGCCGACTCAATGTACTTTTGTCAATTTCGTCAATGACAGTCGCTCTGCCTCCCCCCGTAAAAGTGATACCCATCCTCACTTCCGCTCCCCTCTTAAAGCATTTTGATAAACGATTGATTATATTTGCCCACATACATCAATCGCGATGTCTGCGAGTGGGCATTGGCACCAAGGGTTCTGGAATCTGTGTTAAATGTCTGTTGTCGCGTGCAGGCGTAACGAACACGTGTCAATTTCTATAACTTCATTTTATCTGCCCGTCTTTCTAAAATGACAGAGAACTGTTTCCTAGATACATGCGACGAAGTGATAAATGTTCGACATTTTGACGTGTAAAGCAATTACAGTTGTGAAAGCAGTTCACGTTTGTCATGTAGAAATGATTGTTTTTGGAGGATGTATTTTTCATTCGATATTTTTCAACACATCTCAGTTGTGTTTGGTGTGGTTTCATGGGTTTAATGCGTTGATGTCAATGTGTGCCTGTCTGGGCTCCTGACTACAAGAACTTGCTTCCCGGTGAGGTCCTCTCGTCACATCGAAGACCCAGTTCGATTCCCCACATGAATACAATGTGTGAAGCCCATTTCTGGTGTCCCCCGCCGTGATACCGCTGGAATATTGCGAAAAGTGGCTTAAATAATATTCATTCACTCACTGGCCTCACCACTCGGGTTAGAATTGGTGCTCACGATGCTCATGATATTGATCACTGGATTGTCTTGTCCAGACTCGATTATTTACAGACCGTCGCCATATAGCTGGAATATTGCTGAGTGCTGCGTTAAACAACAAACTAATAAACAAAGCAGGGAAGTTCGTGTTGTTATTATTTTGCGGATTTCTTAAATCTCCAATGCTACCACTTGTCAGTTTGCCAATCTTTTAGGATTTCTACAAGCGTGCGAGCGTTCGTACGCAATCTTAGTATGCGTGTTTTACATGCATCTTTCTGAATGCGTAAGTTTGTATGAAAAAGTGATTTAATACAATTTGAAATATAGTAGTAACCATAGGCGGATCCAGAAATTTTCAAAGGGGGCGGGTTCCCGGTCCCTCTGGATTGCAAAACATTAACTTCAAGGTAGTCATTTTCTGTTAGTATGTGGGGTGGGTTCGATATGTTAGTACATGCTATATTTTCAGAGTGCATTTACTATGGATAGGAAAGGTCTCTCATGAATCATTACAATATACTATCCTCTTTAAGCCAGCTTCGTAGAACTGTCAATTCAAGGCTGATCATAACCAACTGGTCTCTAGAATCGTGTTTTGACAAGTATAGGAATTCATCACAGCACGGTGTCGAGGCGACGTCTCCTGATAATTCCGTTAAAAACTCGCCAGGTGGTTCAGTCTAAAATTAAGTCTATTTATTTCCTGTACAACGTGGCTACCCGTGAGGTAAGTAAACCACTGGACCAGGGGATAATTCTGATTAAACACACAGACTTCAATTTTCGTTCAACAAAGGAGTGCTAATTTGACTGAAGTCAACACCACTTACTTCCCTTTGCATAGGGGACTTTTTCAATCGGAATACTCTCCTGCTGACTTATTCGGGTCAGTGTACCCCGTACGATGTTTGACGCAAGTTCCGGGTAGATTTATTTATGTCGAAACAGCCAGATAGCCTGCCACCTCTATTTAGTGTAGGCGTGGTGACGAGTGTGGGGAGACGACGTATTTCACAATGCAGTGAACGGAACATACATCAAGGTAAGAACTGTCGGGTGTTGAAGAAAATCGAACATTTTAAACAAAGTTGCAAAACTTCAGATTGTCACAATCCATAGCCTGAGATCCACAGAATTGTTAAAAGTTGAATTTGAGGAAACGAACTTGGGAAAGAGTTCCTACCGTTTCCCAAAGCCTAAACCTAACTCGACTAAACCTAACCCTAACTTAAATTTTGGACTTTTAGTCATTTTGTGAGTTCTCTAGTAATTGCTGTGTTAAGTTTTGTTAATAATTTTAGTATATTTATAAATATTATTTGGGATGGGGGAACGGGAGGAACTCTTACCCATTTCAAGTTGGGATTTGCAGGATTTAAATGATACTCAATTAATGGTTCTGGTTTTTTCAGACTATAGTGACAATAAGAAAACAACATTGTATTTTCTTCAAAATATCTGCAAACAAACAAGCATTAATAGTCTGAGTACGACACAAGAAATGTTATTTGGTCCACTTATCATCCACTATATGCAGTTCGACTGACTTGACACAAACACGTTTCAGTGTGTCACTAATTGTACATGCAATGAGAGCAGTCGATGAGGTCAGATTGTGATGCAAAGTTTTACCTACTGTGAGCATGTTTAATGATTAAAATGTAATAAATTAGAAATATATTACTTGACTTTCTATCTCCATTTACTCCCTAATCTCTAGAAGAATTGACTTAACTGTACATAGTATGATTTGGTAGATTTCCTAGTTTTCTCTTTAATAGTCCAACTTTCTAAACTTTTTTAGTGAGTGAGTGAGTTTTACGCCACTTTTAGCAATATTTCAGCAATATCACAGCAGGGGACACCAGAAATGGGCTTCACAGATTGTAACAATATGGGGAATCGAACCCGGGACTTCGGTGAAGATTGAAATTTGTTAAAGAAAAAGCAAACACTTTTATGTGTAGATTTCATGGTGCATAGAAATAACAGGAAGTGTTGGAAATCCACATTATTGTCATGACAGAACCCTTGTTAATTACATGCCAACTATCCATTAAATTTAATTTTGAAATGCAACATTTTAGATATGCATGGCTGAATGTTTTGCTCAATCTTAGCTTAGAACTGACATGCTTCCATTAGCTGATAATCTTATTGTAAGCTCATATACCATGGAAGGATATTGATTATCAAATCGTAACACATAGAGTGAACAGAGGTAAATTATAGGATTAATACATGTAAGTTTTTAATGAGATTGCTTAGAATGAAGATAACGACCACATCAAGTGCATCGTTACAGCTCCTACCATGCGATTACTTCATATTTGATATTCCCGTTATACATGTAGTCTCCGAGGAGAGAGGCCGTGGGATGATTAGGTGGTCATTGCAGTGATGACATGAGAATATATCAGACTTTTCCTAAAGTGCACACAAGTCATTTTCTTGCCATGGCGGAGATAAAATGAATGTGTCAAACTAGGGAAAATTCTCATTTGCTTGAAAATAGTATTTTGTTTAATATTTCAGTATTTTCGTGTTCTAACCAGGCTAATGTTATAATGTTTTCTTTTACTATTTTTTTATATATATTTTGAAAATACTGATTAAGTGAAATTATACTTTCAAATATTTTGGAGAACATTTTTAACATATATATGTATTTGATTATTCAACAGTTTTATGGACCGATAGGTTAGAATAGCAGTATATTAGAAGACAGTCTAAAACTACCCAATAAATTAATGATTGATATAAACATTCAAGGTATCATTTCAACACCTCTTACAGATTTTTGTCCAGGTAAAAATGACAGCCTTAACCCCTTTTGTTGCTCTGTTGTAGGTACAGATAGATATTTTAAAAAGTATATAAAAAATAAACTGAAAGATATCACCCTTTATCCAAAACAAAGCATGAATTCAGGAAAATCATAATTATATTGTTTCAATTTCAGAAATGTTTTAATATTTAACTTAACATTGCATTAAATAAAACATTGTTGAAGTAAGCACTGGTGCCAATTTGATATATTTTTGTTATTGTCAAGTAAATACAAGTCTCATCAGGAAAGACGTACTGTTAGTGTTATATCTTTCCATAGGTGGGGCGTTGGGGTAGCCTAGTGGTTAAAGCGTTAGCTCGTTACGCCGAAGACCCAGGTTCGAATCCCCACATGGGTACATTGTGTGAAGCTCATTTCTGGTGTCCCCCTCTGTGATATTGCTGGAATATTGCTAAAAGCGGCGTAAAACCAAACTCACTCACTCACTCACTCATTCACTCACTCTTTCCACAGGTAGTTGTAATCACAGTAAGAACTGGGATATGTTATTTTTCAATTTAGGAATTTGTACTAACAGCTGCAGATTTGATGAATATCAATTTTGCACAAAATAACAATTTTTTACAACTTTTCCCCAAGGCTCTTAGTTTAAATCCTAGGAAATACCTGCTCATTACACAAAGCCAGTAAGTTCATTTAAACATGGTGCTGACATCTTGACCGACATTGTAAAGGGCAGTGATAACTGTAAGTGTATATTGACGTAGGGTAGTTAAAACAGCGCTACAAATTATTTGTGAAACAGATTGTAGGGTTTAGACTTTCTTCGAAATACCAAAATGTTTCTGCATATTTGTCTCCTTATAACGAGTATACTAAACAATCAACTATTCAAAAAGATAGACACGTGATGAAAAGATGCTCCCTAATTATATGTGGGTTAGAATTTGTCTTCAGCAACCCATGCTTGTTGTAAGAAGTGATCAGCATGTTTTGGTAGTCGAGCTTCCTGACTTGATTGACACATGTCATCATCCCGACTATTACACTGATGCTCATGATATCTATCACTGGATTGTCTGGTCTAGACATCATCCATCCCCATAAACTTGTGGGGCAGTGGAGTAGCCTAGTGGTTAACGTGTTTGGTCATCACGCTGAAGACCCGAGTTCGATTCCCCATATGGGTACAGTGTGTGAAGCCAATTTATACTGTCCATCACTGTGATTAATTGCTGGAATATTGCATAAGGTTTCGTAAAACCATACTCACTCACTCATAAACTTGCTATACTGTAGAGTGTGAATTTCAAAAACAAGCAAAACAAAATGCTGTTTACGATATTGTACAGACAAATCCGTCTAAGGGAAAAGCAGAAATGTGCATAAAATACAGTACAGTGTACTCTGTCAATACCGGCATCAGTCGGGACCAAGTAAAAATGCCGGTTTTGACAGAGTGCCGGTTTAGCTAGGTTCACTTATGACGCCTGCGCACACGGAAGTTCGCTGTCGTACTGTCACTTTAGCATTAACAAAATGTTTGAATAAGAAACAAGGCAGTGACTGAATGCACATTCATGGACCTAATTGCATCAAAGGGTTACGCCGTCTTTCATGTGCCGGTTTTTACAGATTCGTTTTCATAACAACTTGTTCGTTGGGACTGAAAAACAATGCCGATATCCTGAATAGACAGATGCCGATGTTTACAGAAGTTTCTAAATGATAATAACGTGCATTTCTGCTGGGACTGACACTTTGTGCCGATGTAGACAGAGTGCCGGTGTTAAGAGAGGCCGGTATTGACAGAGTCCACTGTATATATATTGTGCCCTGAGAATCAATAGAAAATTGATATTAATAGAAAGAGAATTAATAGAAATTACTTAGTAAGTCTTACACTTCAGAACACTGCACCATTTCATTGCATTACAGGACACTCATATTAAGGGATGAGAATTTTCTGTGGATCCATGGAATTCCAGGAATTTCATAAGGCCAAGGGTCATTTTTGTGAATCATCCAAATCCGTTGACAATTGTATGAATGTGCTTCAGCAGATTTAAAGTTTTTTAATGGTTGCTGTGTTCATGAGATTGTCATTTTCTGAGGCCAGTTTTAAGTTGTCAAAATGTAATTGGAGGTCCTCTTGACTCCTAGTTTTGGAGGTCATGATAAAACATTGTCATCTCAAATGAAATTTAACAAATACATTTTTCTGGGAAGTAGTCCTTTGGTGTGTCGATTAAGATAGCTAAATGGAAACATGTGCGAACTGTTTTAACAATTTTGTGTGTATCTGCATGTTTGTTTATTTTCGTGGTAACATGGCAATAACCGTAAAGCCGGCCACCGTCGGCCGATCAGTCACCTGTGACGTCAAAGTACATCTGACCTCGTGTTGTCACACGCTGACGCACATCAATAGAGGCTGATGTACGGAGACTGTTGTTGAGAGTATTTGGTGGTCTTGTTATTACTGTGACTCCAGGGAGAACTCAGTGAAGCATACTGGTGGGACCTTTTATGGTTCAATCTGATAAACAGCTTTAATGCTTAGTCACAATAAACATGGTCTATAGTTCGTACATGTCATCCAAGAGCTGATCTCTTGCCCAATAACCTGTCCACAGATTGCCTTGTAAATATATACTGACAGAAAAGAGTAACTACACAGAAGTTACATATACCCTATAGGCAGAGACCATATACCAAGGGACCAGCCTGAGTGACAGAGCTAATTAGGAACTGATCTCTGTTGCGCAACACTAAGCTATAATTACCTTGAGATCTTCGTGATTCGATGGCTCACATCAGAGTTCCTTGCCTTCATTCATATTATCCATTGTACATTGAGTGATATATTGGTATATGGTCTCTGCTTATAGGGTAGTGCTATTGTTATGTGCTTTTTAAAAAATAATAAAGAGTTCTTTCTGGATTTATCATAATAGATTCCTTGACAAAACTTGTACCAGGAGACAGAGTGACGCCCTAACAGAGAGTTGGTGTGACTAAGTCCATTAGACTGTCTCAGGTCCCTGAACCACTGTTGTCCTCCTTTCCTCCTCACACTGTCTGCAATGTAAACATCATGAATGAGCCATTCTAGGTTTTCCTCAGGTCCTGGGGCGGTGGGGTAGCCTAGTGGTTAAAGCATTGGCTCATCATGCCAAAGGCCCGGGTTTGATTCCCCACATGGACACAATGTGTGAAGCCCATTTCTGGTGTTCCCCGCCATGATATTGCTGGAATACTGCTAAAAGCGGCATAAAACCCAACTCACTTACTTAGACACTCCTCAGCTTCTGAATTTCCCGTCTCACCAAGGCTCTGTTTCATTTTAAATGTATCTCAGCCGAGCTTATTTTTGTCAAAGATATATTTTAAGTGTTAGTCTCCATCTCCATTAGTAACGTCAATATTGGGTGTGACCACCATCTGCGTTGATACAGGTGAAAAAGCTGTGGTCCATTCAAGACTGTTGATTGAAAATATCCTTGGGGATGTTGTTCCGAAAGTCAGTCAAAGGTTATGTCACAACTCAAGCATGAACAGGTTGCTCAATTCGGCATTGTTCTGTCTAATCACAATACATGTTCTTTTTTGAGAGATTCTGGAGAAACAACTTTCCTTGGTAGTACTGCAATGTAACACTGCTTCCAAAAACCTGATGGAACTCATCTGAACGCTGGGCGACCATTATCCTGCTGCATTAGTGATGTTTTGTCCTTATATCAATAGGGGGCGGTGGGGTAGCCTAATGGTTAAAGCGTTGGCTCGTCACGCCGAAGACCCGGGTTCGAATCCCCACATGGGCACAATGTGTGAAGCCCATTTCTGGTGTCCCCCGCCGTGATGTTGCTGGAATATTGCTAAAAGCGGCGTAAAACCAAACTCAGTCAGTCAGTCAGTCCTTATATCAATATATGGGCGAGCACATGACCTTGAAGAAAGGTACAAAGGAACGAACACACAACAAGTAAACAAATAAACATACAAACATGCCGAACTGAATAGAGGAATGAAGGAAAAAAATTCATAAACATAATAAACAAATGCAACACAAGAAACCCCAATGCAAAACAAAACAAAACAAAACAAACAAATGAAACATGAAAGAAGACGAAAGAAACATGCTGTATGTGTGTGTCTCTTGTTCCAGGTAGTTATGAGCAGGAGTGTAGGGGTCAAGCTGACCCAGGCCCTTCTAGTCTGTCTGTGCATCTGTCTGTCTGATGCCAACGAGTTCATCAACCAGTTTGCAGTCAAGGTCAACGGAGACAGAGGTGAAGTTGAAGAGATCGCCGAAAGCCTGGGATTCGAAGTTGAGCATGAGGTATGACATTCATTTCTGGGTAATCAAATCCACTTCACTACACAAACATCTGGTTATTTAACATTTGCAACAAAGAACTGATGGTGGGGTTGATTGAAATTTATTGTCACATTCAACATTATTGCTCTTAAATGGCGACATGCATAACCGAGTTTGAGTAGCACGATGCACTTGTCTGGACAAGTTTCAGTTTTGTAGAGCTAGCCAACTGAGATACGATGAATGCCCCGGTCAGAGACAATGTACTGACTCCTTGTCCATTCAGCTTGGTCAAACAATTGATCTACCCCTCCCCAGGCAGCTTTTAGATTCACTTCACCACTGTAGCAGTCTTCTGTCCCTCAGGAATTCCATAGGGCATAAATTGTTACAATCCTGTAGGTTCCATGAAGTGTAATCTTTGCTCTGAATTACTTTTAAGGTTGAGGTGTATCAGCAGTAGGGGTGGGTATTGCAGAGAATTTTCATATTGAGATATATTGCGATGCGAAAGCTTATATTGCGATATGTATTGCAATATATTGCAAGAAGTTTTTTTTAACACTAAACTACTAATGATCAAGTTAATGCTTTATTTATAAAGCTAAAACACAACAAAATCACTATGCTTCATTAAGCTTTAATAAAAACTTTTAATCATGACAAAATGAGAATATAGATAATATTTAAATGTAATTTTCACCATGATCATTCCCACCACCATTACCACAACTGCCACAATCATCAAGGTTTCCAAGTGTTACGAAGTTTTCCAAATACATGTCAAAATACCGGTTTTCTATCAGCGTATCGTAATACATATCGTTTTCATGTCTGAACCAGTTAATATCGGTAAACCGGTTATATTGTGCAGCCCTAATCAGCAGTGTATGAAATAAGCCTAAACCCCAGCCAGACATCTGGGCTGGTAACTTCAAAAACTTACCAGCCCAGAAGAGATTTAACCAGTCAGTACCAGTGGACATGTTATCGGAATATTTGTTTTTCACCCGTCCATCGGGCTGGCTAGCTGTAAAATTAGACCGTCTGGCAGAAATCTAGCCTGTCTCAGGCGGTCGGACGGGCCTTATTTCATACACTGGTATCAGACATCAACAACTGACTCTGCAACTGAGTCGTCTGCTCCTACCGTTATCGTCTTAATGCACAATGACAGGCAGGCATAGGCGCTCGACTGATATATTTATAAGTTTGACCTATATGTATAAGATATAAGAAAGGTGTGTCAGTAAATCGAAACAAAATGGCGACCCGGCTCGGGTCGACTCTTTTTCGGTCTGACAAACGCTTCCATCAATAATTTTGCCGTCTATACTCGCACGATGTCAGGACATATGCCCGGAAGTAAACAAATCTCAGGCTACAGACCCGCACCGAATGGTAGAGCGAGTCTCTGATTGCACGTTAAAAGAGGTGGGAATAATAGAAGACGCTATCCAATCAGACACTCGCTCTACTATTCGGTGCGGGTCTGTAGCCTGAGATTTGTTTACTTCCGGGCATATGTCCTGACATCGTGCGAGTATAGACGGCAAAATTATTGAAAGCTTTAAATGGGAATAAAATCACCAGGTTTGTGATACGCAAGGTACTTTACAGAGGTCAACTGAGTATAAATTGTGCAGTTTATTCAACGGTCAAAGCGATGGAAGCGTTTGTCAGACCGAAACAGAGCCGAGCCGAGCCGGGTCGCCATTTTGTTTCGATTTACTGACACACCTTTCTTATATCTTATACATATAGGTCATACTTATAAATATATCAGAGTCGAGCGCCTATGCAGGCAGGGTAACAATCAAGGGTCATTATCAAGATGTCAAGCTAATAGAGTTTGAATTGATATTTGTTATATAGTTAAAGAAACTATCTGCTCATTCACTAACAGTTTTTCTTGTACTTTCAGCTGCGCAGCACCAAAGTATTCCTGCTGAGCCATCCTGAAGTGGATCATCGATCAAAACGCAGCGCAGATACACATGTTGACAGTCTCAAAGCTCACCCCAAGGTAAGCAGCATTGGTCTGGTTTGAACTGGTTTCGCTAGTGATGAGCATTATCTGTTGAAATATTTGTAGGTGATATTCCATGTTAAACTACTCTTATCTTGAACAGGAATGATCCCTTGCTTGATAACGGTGTTAGCATCTACACCGAAACGTCGCATCCATTTCAATAAAGAAGTTGTCTATCCATAAAACCATGGTTCCTGTTCATAAATATGTTCATCAAACTTGGTACACATATCAAGCATGATCCCTAGATGTGCCTTTTGGGGTTTAGATCCAGATATGAATTTTATTTTTTGCTGTTTCCATGGAAACATGACTTAGTGCCAAATGTGTTCGATTATTTTGTCCGGATCATATCTCTTAAAGTTTACATGCTAGGTTCATGCTAGGTACATGCAAAATGTATTTGATGGTTACCTGACCACGGCATATCATTGAAACTATATATGCTAGGTTCACCAAACTTAATACACAAGTTAATCATGACCCACAGATATGCCATGTGCTAAAAAATAGCAATCTTCATCTACGTCCACTTCATTGTGTGCAACATGAGACAGTCAAGTTCAATTGTATGTCAGTTTTCCACGGAAAACACAAAAAAATCTAGTTTCCATAAATTATTACCGTAATCAGTACATGCCAAAACTATTATCTAACATGTATATAAAGTTTAGTAGAGTCAAAGAGAAAGTCTTGTGAGCTGCTGATCCTTGTCACATTATATATATCAATATCAGTCATTTCCATGTCCCAAAGTGGGAAGCGGGGGTATGTGAGCTTTGCTCACTTCTACACTTGTTTGAAATGTTAATGTTGAAATGAACACACATGTTGAAAGGATTGACAACTGGTTCAGTTAGTTTCACATACATGTTTGGACTTCCTTCTTACGTAAAAATGACAAAAATGTGCAAAATAAGAGAATTTTTTTACTTTGAGCAAATCTGTGACCCAAGATGAATACACTGTCTCATATTATTACAGATTTGTATGTGCATCGAAGACATTTAAGTTCCATATTAAAGTTGCTTGTTTTCAAATGTGAAAATCCTCTAAAATCAACCTTTTCAACAAATTTTATGCATTAGTATTCTTTTTATAAAGTTTCATTCATATTTATGTATCTTTCCACATGTTGCTCATTTGCTTGAATTAAGATAGCCCTATAGGCTCATAATGAACCAAAAGCAGAAATTGTCTTTCATGGGATTCCTTTATTTTAAAAATGAACTGGACTTGTCATGTAGTTCTTCCTGCATATTTTCCTTTTTTGCAAATGCAAAAATGTGTTTGTATAGTTTTTGTATGCTCAGCAAGAACAGCTGCTAACTCCAGAGAAGAGAGAGGTATTGCACGACAAACAGTCTGAGTTCCTGATTCGCGATATCACGGATGATTTTTATCATGATCTTTTTCGCAAATTATAAAAAATTATTTGTGTCCGTTTAGGTTTTGTATGCTCAGCAAGAACAGCTGTTCAACTCGAGAGAAGAGAGAGGTATTGCACGACAGTCTGAGTTCCTGATTCGCGATATCACGGATGATTTTTATCATGATCTTTTTCGCTAATGCTCAAAATTGTTTGTGTCCGTTTAGGTTTTGTATGCTCAGCAAGAACAGCTGTTAACTCCAGAGAAGAGAGAGGTATTGCACGACAAACAGTCTGAAGTCCCTATTCGCGATATCACGGATGATTTTTATCATGATCTTTTACGCTAATGCTCAAAATTGTTTGTGTCCGTTTAGGTTTTGTATGCTCAGCAAGAACAGCTGTTAACTCGAGAGAAGAGAGAGATATTGCACGACAAACAGTCTGAGTTCCTGATTCGCGAGATCACAGATGACTCCGTCTACCACCGTGTGGAAGGAACCCAACTCACTGAATGCAGATTGGAGTACGCTGAGCAGTTCGTTGACCCCAAATTCCATGACCAGTGGTATTTGGTGAGTTTGAGATTGTGGTAACATCTTGAATTATTATTAACATGATGATATGTTTGATTAAAGGACCATTCATAATTTATGGTGGGGTGGGGGTGGGTGGGTGTGTGTGATGATTTTTAAGGGGAAATCACCCATTTTGTTCTGTGGAGGAAGGAGGGGTCAGCAATTTTGTACACAAGTACTACGGGGTCAGCAATTTTGTACATGAATATATTAAAAAAATATGCTTAAATAATATGGGAGGAGGGGGGCATTGATTTTGTACATGGCATGAAGGGGGGTCACTTTTTTTGTACATAAATTTTAGGGTGTGTTATTTACATTGTACATGCTTCTCCATAAAAGTCATCATCATCCCCCCCCCCCCCCCCCAGACATAAATTCTGAAGAGTCCCTAATTTTCTTATAATTTAATGGGATACATGGGAAGGTTAAAGGTTTTTTGCTTGATGACCAGGCACCAGGAAATGGTTTGATATTATGTTCAGGTAGGGGGATGGATTCTGCAATTTGTTTAGGAAAATACTATTCCCCACAAAATAATGTTTTGCATGTTTGACAAAAATGAATTGAATAGGGCCTGTAGGTACGTCATGGCACTTCGCGACACCCAATGCATTGTTAACTTTTATACCTTTTCGAATGGTCTCATGGTTGTCAGTTGACAATCTTGAACCGATAATCCTTGCAGGAATAACACATTTCCGATCTAACCATCCCCAAATTAGCCAACTATTACGACTGTCAACAGCTGTGACAGTCAAGCATGGTTGTACACTTGGTCCGGTCAAGTAAAGTCATATTTGGCGGCCTCGCAATTTGGAACCAGAACTGGTTCTTGAATATACGCTTGTCACCGGAAATCTGGTACTAGAATATCGCAAGTTGGGGCAAGCAAAGGGAGCCAGGAACCACCTGAGTAAGACTTGAAGGCACTGCATTGGACAAAAGAGTGTGTTGTTGGTGAAGGGGCGGTGGGGTAGCCTAGTGGTTAAAGCGTTGGCTCGTCACGCCAAAGACCTGGGTTCGAATCCCCACATGGGTACAATGTGTGAAGCCCATTTCTGATGTTCCCCGCCGTGATATTGCTGGAATATTGCTAAAAGCGTCGTAAAACCAAACTCAGTCAGTCAGTCAGTCAGTTGTTGGTGAAAATTTTGTTATCCTTTCACATGTGTCCCGCCGTGATGTTGCTGGAATATTGCTAAAAGCGGCGTAAAACTAAACTCACTCACTCTTGTATGTGTTTTCAATTGAAATTATAAACCTTATCAAATCTAGCTCTGGCCCCCTGGAGTATAAAATTGTCATCCCTAAGCCACCCTTAAACTAAGGTAATTCATACAAAATACATATGTCTCATCAAGGGGGAAAAAAGTTTCAGTTATGACACAGCCAAACACATGTTCTGGCAAAATAAGAAGCAGCTCTTACAATTTTGAAAGACATTATCACCTACACATATAGGTATATCTTGATAATGTTTATTGAGGCAATTACATGCCTTCATAGAAATGTCGTGAGGTATGTGTAAAAGCTTTCAATGAATAGGTTGGTGCACTTAGTTCTCTTTGCCTCAAGGTTAACTGGGCTGGAAAATGTTAGTACTTTACTGTATGAAGTCATGCATTACGGTAAGTAAGTGGTACATTATTACACTCACGGGAATGGTGGCTAGATAATGGGGGTGGCTAGATAATGGGGGTTGTAGATAGACCTGTGCAAATTGGGTTTAATGTGACTGGTGATTCAGTGTGTCTCGAGGATGACTAAGAAACAACACTACCAGGCAATAATAATATCACAGGTTCAGGATGGGGATGTCTCATGTTCAGGATGGGGATGTCTCATGTACAGGATGGGGATGTCACAGGGTCAGGATGGGGATGACTCATGTTTAGGATGGGGATGTCACAGGTTCAGGATGGGGATGACACAGGTTCAGGACGGGGATGTCTCATGTTTAGGATGGGGATGTCACAGGATCAGGAAGGAGATGTCTCATGTTCAGGATGGGGATGTCTCAGGGTAAGCATGGGATGTCTCAGGTTCAGGATGGGGATGTCTCATGTTTAGGATGGGGATGTCACATGTCTCAGGATGGGGATGACACAGGTTCAGGATGGGGATGTCTCAGGTTCATGGGGATGTCACAGGATGGGATGTCTCAGGTTATGTGATGGGGATGTCACTGGTTCAGGATGGGGATGTCTCATGGTTCAGGATGGGGATGTCACAGGTTGAGGATGGGGGGATGTCACATGTTCAGGATGGGGATGACACAGGTTCAGGATGGGGATGTCTCATGTTCAGGATGGGGATGTCTCATGTTCAGGGTTCAGGATGGGGATGATACAGTTCAGGATCATGGGTTCAGGATGGGGATGTCTCATGTTGAGGATGGGGATGTCTCATGTTCAGGATGGGGATGACACAGGTTCAGGATGGGGATGTCTCATGTTCAGGATTGGGATGTCACATGTTCAGGATGGGGATGTCTCATGTTGAGGATGGGGATGTCTCATGTTCAGGATGGGGATGACACAGGTTCAGGATGGGGATGTCACAGATTCAGGATGGGGATGTCACAGGTTCAGGATGGGATGATGATGTCTCATGTTCAGGATGGGGGGATGTCTCATGTTCAGGATGGGGATGTCTCATGTTCAGGATGGGGATGACACAGGTTCAGGATGGGGATGTCTCATGTTCAGGATGGGGATGACACAGGTTCAGGATGGGGATGTCACAGGTTCAGGATGGGGATGACACATGTTCAGGATGGGGATGTGTCACAGGTTCAGGATGGGGATGTCACAGGTTCAGGATGGGGATGTCTCATGTTGAGGATGGGGATGTCTCAGGTTCAGGGATGGGATGATGTTCACAGGGGATTCAGGATGGGGATGTCGCATGTTCAGGATGGGGATGGGGATGTCTCATGTTCAGGATGGGGATGGGGATCTCATGTTCAGGATGGGGATGTCTCAGGTTCAGGGTGGTGATGACATAGGTTCAGGATGGGGATGTCTCATGTTCAGGATGGGGATGGGGATGTCTCATGTTCAGGATGGGGATGTCTCAGGTTCAGGGTGGTGATGACACAGGTTCAGGATAGGGATGTCAGTTGTGACTTATGTTATATTTGGCATAACACTTTCTTAGTAAAGTACAGATTCTAGAACTTACATGGGGATATCCGTTGTTGAAGATGCAAATGTGATAAGCTGTCCAGGAGTTTGTGACATTTGTTGTCTGGGGATGTTGACATTTTTGCAAGAGGTTGTTGTCAGGCATTCTGCTGTTTACTGTGTATGATTATGCAAGTATTTTCAGAATAGGGGGATCAGGTTTTCAGTTTGTGCAAAATTTGCCACACTATTTCAGCGCAACTGTGGGCAAAGTGAAGGCAAGATTGGGATGGACTTGAATGTTGATCCAGCATGGAGTAATGGCTTCAGTGGGACTGGCGTCGTCATCTGCATCCTGGACGACGGCATCGACCACCAACACCAGGACCTCAAGGACAACTATGTATGTATAGCCATATGATCTGTATGTTCTTCCGAAGGATCAAGGGGCGGTGAGGTAGCCTAGTGGTTAAAGCGTTGGCTCGTCAGGCCGAAGACCCGGGTTCGAATCCCTACATGGGTACAATGTGTGAAGCCCATTTCTTGTGTCCCCCGCCTTGATGTTGCTGGAATATTGCTAAAAGCGGCGTAAAATCAAACTCACTCAGTCAGTCAGTCCAATGGATCAAGGGAGCGGTGAGGTAGCCCAGTGGTTAAAGCTGTCGCTCATCACTCCGAAGACACGGGTTCAATTCCCCATATGGGTACAATGTGTGAAGCCTATTTCTGGTGTCCCTACCATGACATTGCTGGAATATTGCAAAAAGTGGCATCAAACTAACTCACACCTCGGGATCAACCATGTTAGTCTGGTGTTGATATAGATCTGGCATATATACAGTCTCAACAGCCACATATACATGCATGAATTTCTGTGGTGCTATTTTTAAGGCACACAATCTGGTTGAATATTAACATTCAGGGAAAGCTTGTCGGTAGTGTAGAAGATAATAAATAACCACCTTTCTTGTTCGCTGTCTTTATTTCATTATTTCTATTTGAAGACTTCAATGGTATCTTCTTTTTCTATTTGATAGGTATTTGACAGATGTGACAGGTTGTTTTGACAAAGTACAAGCTGTCAAAGAAAGGAAATACCTCAATAAGTGATGAAATATACTAAAACAAAGTTTATATACTTATATAAACTTGAAACAATGAAATAACATCGCTTACTTATGTTTACATTCTTTTACTTTTAAATTGCCAAGTTGAAAGTTGTGAACTTTTACTCGTTATATTTTCCGGATTTTAAAATCAGTTTCTTTTACAAATTAAACAGCAAATAATATTACAATTAATTACAAAAATTCACCTCAACTTTTAAATTTACATTCATTAAACAATTGGTGCAAGTACTTATGAATTACAAAACTTTGGGGAAACATTATCTCTACACAGGTTGTTGGAAACGTTGCAGCACCAACCTAACTTTCCTGGCCCCTTGGTTTTTCTCAAGCCACTCACTTCCGGTTTGGATTATTAACCGGACCATCAAAAAACAAAATCCATAAGAATCCATACCGAAACAACGCATCATATACAATAAAAGCAGTTGTTGTCCATAAAGAATGTGTATAGAGATGTTGGGTTTTGTAAATACATGCTCTCTGTATTTGCGTTCGATCCAATCAACAAATACTGAGATGGTGAACTACTGCGTGGCTGGAAACTGTCATTCATCCAAGTACAAAGCAGGATTTGAAACTGACAATCTGAGTTTGCACCGGTTTCTGTCCGATCCAGTCATCCGAGAAAAATGGATGCAGTTTGTTTGCAACCCACAGACATAATAACATGTCATGTGTACAAGTATCACACCTGCCTGTCTGTGTAATTACATAATGTGACAGAGACCGAACTCAGGTGCAGGAGCCATACATCAATGTATTTTGTTCATGGTGTATAGCCTGATAGGTGTTAAGTTCAAATTGCATGTGGTCAATGATTGAAGTTGTGTATTGCATATTGTCATTAGCAGACAGGCAGGCAGACACATTGGTGTCAATAAAACAGACATTGAGTTTTGTCTGTGACAGAGACTGCTTATCACAATCAACATATTTTTCTATGTTTCCATAGACATGTATTAAAACATTTCAAGCTGAGCAATTATTATCAATGAAATTAGTATTTCTAATGCTACACTTTCTTGAAAACGTGGTTTGCAAATCTGCAACCAAGTATGGGACCAGTGTATTTTTATTACTGCGGACCAAAGATGCTTGTAATCACAAGAAACATCTTTTGATCTCCAACTTCGACCACAGCGATAATCCTTGCACGCATCACTTGCTGTGTTTTTATGAGTTGCCTTCCCGGTTCAAGGCGTGAGAACCTAATCACTGTGCATGCGCTATGGGCACAGCGCAGCACAGCTGTTGAAACCACTTTTCACCCCAGTGCTCGGGTGAAATTAGTGAATCGTTTGAACTCTGATTTCGCAGGGTTTTTTTCATCGCGTTATTTTTCAACTTTATAAGCTGAATTTGCATTTTTGATAATTTGTTACTGTAAGTCAACATCGAAAGGTTTAGGATCTGCAAAGTTGTGTTTGCGTTGCATGTGACCTTTAAAGAAACGCTCATAATAGATAAGTGCAAATGAGCCTCGCAGTTTGCTTAGTGGGTGGAAGGATTAGTTTGTGAGTTGGGTGAGTTTGTAGTGTTTGTTGAGGGGGTGAGTTGGGTGAATTTGTTCAAGGGATGAGGCGAGTTTGGTTAGAGGGTAATTTGGGTGAGTTTTTTAAGAGGGTGAGTTTTTGATAGGGTGAGTTGAATAAGATGGTGAGTTGAATGAGGGGTGATGTGGGTGAGTTGAATGAGAGGGTGAGTTGAATGAGAGGGTGATGTGGATGAGTTGAATGAGAGGGTGAGTTGAGTTGAATGAGAAGGTGAGTTGAATGAGAGGGTGAGTTGAATGAGAGGGTGAGTTGAATGAGAGGGTGATGTGGATGAGTTGAATGAGAGGGTGAGTTAAATAAGAGGGTGATGTGGGTGAGTTGAATGAGAGGGTGATGTGGATGAGTTGAATGAGGGGGTGATTTAAATAAGAGGGTGATGTGGGTGAGTTAAATCAGAGGGTGAGTTGAATCCAAGGGTGAGTTGAATGAGAGGGTGATGTGGGTGAGTTGAATGATAGGGTGATGTGGGTGAGTTGAATGAGAGGGTGAGTTGAATGAGAGCGTGATGTGGATGAGTTGAATGAGGGGGTGAGTTAAATAAGAGGGTGATGTGGGTGAGTTAAATCAGAGGGTGAGTTGAATCCAAGGGTGAGTTGAATGAGAGGGTGATGTGGGTGAGTTGAATGATAGGGTGATGTGGGTGAGTTGAATGAGGGGGTGATTTAAATAAGAGGGTGATGTGGGTGAGTTAAATCAGAGGGTGAGTTGAATCCAAGGGTGAGTTGAATGAGAGGGTGATGTGGGTGAGTTGAATGATAGGGTGATGTGGGTGAGTTGAATGAGAGGGTGAGTTGAATGAGAGGGTGATGTGGATGAGTTGAATGAGGGGGTGAGTTAAATAAGAGGGTGATGTGGGTGAGTTGAATGAGAGGGTGAGTTGAATGAGAGGGTGATGTGGGTGAGTTGAATCAGAGGGTGATGTGGGTGAATTGAATGAGAGGGTGAGTTGAATGAGAGGGTGATGTGGATGAGTTGAATGAGAGGGTGAGTTAAATAAGAGGGTGATGTGGGTGAGTTGAATGAGAGGGTGAGTTGAATCAGAGGGTGATATGGGTGAGTTGAATGAGAGGGTGAGTTGAATGAGAGGGTGATGTGGATGAGTTGAATGAGAGGATGAGTTAAATAAGAGGGTGATGTGGGTGAGTTGAATCAGAGGGTGATGTGGGTGAGTTGAATCAGAGTGTGATGTGGGTGAATTGAATGAGAGGGTGAGTTAAATAAGAGGGTGATGTGGGTGAGTTGAATGAGAGGGTGATGTGGGTGAGTTGAATGAGAGGGTGATGTGGGTGAATTGAATGAGAGGGTGAGTTGAATGAGAGGGTGATGTGGATGAGTTGAATGAGAGGGTGAGTTAAATAAGAGGGTGATGTGGGTGAGTTGAATGAGAGGGTGAGTTAAATAAGAGGGTGATGTGGGTGAGTTGAATGAGAGGGTGATGTGGGTGAGTTGAATCAGAGGGTGATGTGGGTGAATTGAATGAGAGGGTGAGTTAAATAAGAGGGTGATGTGGGTGAGTTGAATGAGAGGGTGATGTGGATGAGTTGAATGAGAGGGTGATGTGGGTGAATTGAATGAGAGGGTGAGTTGAATGAGAGGGTGATGTGGATGAGTTGAATGAGAGAGGTGAGTTAAATAAGAGGGGTGATGTGGGTGAGTTGAATGAGAGGGTGAGTTGAAATAAGAGGGTGATGTGGGTGAGTTGAATGAGAGGGTGATGTGGATGAGTTGAATGAGAGGGTGATGTGGGTGAGTTGAATGAGAGGGTGAGAGTTAAATAAGAAGGGTGATGTGGGTGAGAATTGAATGAGAGGGTGAGTTGAATAAGAGGGTGATGTGGGTGAGTTGAATGAGAGGGTGAGTTGAATGAGAGGGTGATGTGGGTGAGTTGAATGAGAGGGTGAGTTGAATGAGAGGGTGAGTTGATGTGAGATGAGTTGAATGATGTGGATGAGTTAAATAAGAGGGTGATGTGGGTGAGAGTTGAATCAGAGGGTGATGTGGGTGGAGTTGAATAGAGAGTGTGATGTGGTTGAATTGAATGAGAGGTTGAGAGTTAAATAAGAGGGTGATGTGGGTGGAGTTGAATGAGAGGGTGATGTGGATGAGTTGAATGAGAGGGTGATGTGGATGAGTTGAATGAGAGGGTGATGTGGGTGAATGAATGAGAGGGTGAGTTGAATGAGATGGGATGAGTTGAATGAGAGGGTGAGTTGAATAAGAGGTGATGTGGGTGAGTTGAATGAGAGGGTGATGTGGATGAGAGTTGAATGAGAGGGTGATGTGGGTGAATTGAATGAGAGGGTGAGTTGAATGAGAGGGTGATGCGGATGAGTTGAATGAGAGGGTGAGTTAAATAAGAGGGTGATGTGGGTGAGTTGAATGAGAGGGTGAGTTAAATAAGAGGGTGATGTGGGTGAGTTGAATGAGAGGGTGAGTTGAATGAGAGGGTGATGTGGGTGAGTTGAATGATAGGGTGAGTTGAATGACAGGGTGAGTTGAATGACATTGTGATGTGGGTGAGAGGATGTTTCCGCTGAGGTGAGTGAGTTTGGTGAAAGAGGTTTCAAATTCTCGTGAGTATAAATGCTTGTACTTTTGTTAGGCTGAGTCCCATTTGAACCCAAAATCTCAGAGTCAGCAAACAACACCTTGCAAGCACACAAAGTGGTCTACATGACCCGAAGTCATCCCAATACATCAAATCATTACCATGTCCATACCATCCCACAAGAAATCTGAGATCAGCTGACAGCCTTCTTGCTGTACCTGAAACTAAGACTAAACTGGGCGGGAGGTCCTTCTCAGTTCTTGCTCCAGAACTCTGGAATCGTCTGCCTCTCGACATTACACAGACTAAAGACTCACAGACCTTCCGACAACAACTTAAGACATTTCTCTTCCGAGATGCATATATCCATAGACCAGGATACAGTTGAACTGTAGCAGTGCCGTTGAGCAGCAGATGCACGGGAAACCAGGCGCTATATAAATTCATTATTATTATTATTATCATTGAAGTCAGTGATCTAATCCACTCAGTTGCCGCTGAGAAAGTGACACAGTTTGTTATTTTACATTAAGGATAGTGAAGCCAGCACAGACTTGAACGATCTGGATGACCTTGCAGAAGACCCCATGCCGGACAAAAGCAACTCTTTAAACAGGTGAGATTTATTTCATCATTAATTAAGTTTGTTTATGGGATCAGCTGACACATCAAATAAATAAAATGACACTGTTTTACAAATAGAAAAGAAACCCTAAATGTTTTCACCACTTTCCATAACAAATTGTGAATGATATTTAAAATATATTATTTTAGATAAAATCCAGTCAGTTATAGTAGGAGTATCAGTCTGTCTGAAAGATTACATTATCCACCATCAAAAATACATTTGGTCAAATCATTTTGTAAGCCAACTAACAACTATCGAAAGACTAAAATGGTTCACATTTTTTTAGGCCCAATGTTGAAACTAGCCAGAAGTCTTGGTACGGGGTCCTGTATTCACCCCGATCACTCCTTGATTATATTTTTGAAGTTTCAGATTTTGAATCAACATCTTTCATAGCATAGGATTGACAGTCACCAGTATAAAACACACACTGTATAGCTCTAAAATCTGCTTTCTGATTGGCTGGTTGACTGTTTGTTAGTCATTTCATTGGTCAACCAGATCACAAAAACAGTGTTCTGTCAGAAACTGTAATGATTGTCAAATGGAAAAAAGAACTGAGAACTGATTTTAAATTTGAATATGAGGTCTAAATAAATATATGTATATATACTGAGAAACAAGTAAAGGGTCACAGGGAAAATCAAGTGTTTCTTTAATATTTCCAGCTTTCATCACCAGCTTAGAATACTGCTGTAGTGATGAATACTGGAAAATAATAAAGGAACGCTTGAATTTTCCTGTGATCCATTATTTTTCTCTCTCAGTATATATGTATATTTGTGTATATGAAAAATATATATTCCTGTGTGTGTATGTTACTCATTGTTAAATTCCAATGCTTTCGGTTATTTTTCATGCTGATGAAGTATCAGGGTATGTTATACATGTCAGTTTAGCATCTTTTGCATTTGTTGTTGGTAGTTGGTGAATCTGGTGGTGATTTGGTTTGTTTTACTGTATTTATTGTCTGTTTTATTTGGTTTGAGGATGAAATTGTTGATTTATGTACATTTCACATCTGCTTGCGGAGGTTAAACATTAAGCCGAGGGGCGGTGGGGTAGCCTAGAGCATTCGCTCGTCACGCCGAAAACCCAGGTTTGATTCACCACATGGGTACAATGTGTGAATCCCATTTCTGGTGTCCCTCACCGTGATATTGCTGGAATATGGCTAAAAGCGGAGTAAAAGAATACTCACTCATTCATATAGCTGAAAACCTCATGCTTCAGTTAACCTGGTAGTTACAGTTTAGAATTAGTCCTTGTGACACCTGGTGTCTTGGTGAATGGGGTGGTCTTGGTGAAGTTCGCTGATTTGGTGGATGGTGTGTAAATGTGACAGACAGACAAACAGACAGACAGACAAACATGCACACATACAGAAAAATGGAAAAAGAAAAAAATGTATTAAGAAGTCGGGCTTTTGTTCAAAATTTTACGCCTAATTATATGGGCATTTTTGGGGTGGTGAACGTTCATACCAAACAAAGACCGAAGGATATCTCATCATTATGGGTCGTGTCAGAATGGTGTTTCATCTGACCAATCAGACCATTGCATGCCAATCAGACCTATGATGATCAGGGTTAGAATTGGTCTTCAGCAATCAATGACTAACGGGATCGGGTGGTCACGCTCGCTGACTTGGTTGACACATGTCATCGTATCCCAACTGTGTTGACCGATGCTGACATGCTGTTGGTCAATTTTTTTGTCAAAATGGTTAACATTTATTAAAGCATATTCTGGAATGGAAATCTAATGTCAGAAACTAGTTGGGTAATGCTTGAAAGAGCTGCTTCCTCATTGGAAACTTCATGTTAGTTGGGGCGGTGTGGTAGCCTAGTGGTTAACTCATTTGCTCATCACGCCGAAAACCTGGGTTCGATTCCCCACATGGGTACAATGTGTGAAGCCCATTTCTGGTGTCCCCTGCTGTGATATTGCTGGAATATTGCTAAAAGCAGCGTAAAACTAAACTCACTCACTCACACATGTTAGTCATTTCATTGGCTGGTCAATGTCTGCAAAAGGTCTTTGATTTGACCCATCGTGCGATATCCTCAGATCTTTGGTTTGCCGTAGCGAGAACTGCGATATGATTTGGACGAGACTGGATGTCATAAGTTTTGTTTGTCATATATTTATAATATAATGCTGAGTAAGCCATGTAGATGAAACTATCTTTTTAATATCTATGTTTTTGTGATGGTTGTTACAATTAACACTTGAATATTATGTTTAACACATATATAAGGTCTCGTGACAGATGGTATTTCTCCATGAGTTTACCTGGCAACGGCACTCAGTATCCTAGATGAATAATACTGCTTACATTAAGGAGGTAATTATATGTGTGTTATCTGATTCACCACTGACACACTGTGTGTCTGACAGTTTGTTACTCAGGGATGCCAGTGTTGATCTTCTTTAGATGTTAATTCTCTTAGGATACATCTTCTTACGTGAAATACAGGAGAATACTTCAGGACCTTTAAGGTTGGTTTTTATCATAATTAGTATGTTACATTCATATTTCTTTGAACGTTGTTCCGCTGTTGTTCAGCATCTCTGTCTGTTGTTCAGCATCTGTCTGTTGTTTTCATTCAGTCACGGGACACGTTGTGCCGGCGAGATTGCTGCGTCTGGTCACAATGACATCTGTGGTGTTGGAGTTGCTTTCACGGCTCATATTGGAGGTAAGAGTTTGTCTGGATTTAGAAATTATGTCAGATTTGATGGATCGACCAAAATGTGGGTTTGATACTTGTTGCAGTTGTAGCCCCAAGATCTAATTTTAGCCCACCTGACTGAAAATTTAGTGTGTCCGTCCATCCACCCAACCACCAACACATCCATCCATCCATCCATCCATCCATCCATCTATCCATCCACCCACCCATGCAACCATCCACCCACCCAACCACCAATCGACAGACCAAGGTGTACCACCTGTATGTGTGAAACTGAAATTTCACTGCACGTGCTTGTTCATTGCCTGGCAGTTCTACCAGCAAGTGGTCCTCCCTCGTATGAAATAGCGAAAAGTGACAAAATAATGATCGTTTGTTAAACAACTATTTTATTCGGATGTCCCAATTGATGAGACAAATCATCAGGGTTGGTCTGTCGATTTCATGTGACTGCAATATTTGGTTTTGTTGCAATTATTAGATTTTGTGTTAGTGAGCAATTCATCGGTCTCAAATGAATTCAAACGGACTGTAGTCGTGTAAAATGACATAAATACCAACCATATGTATAGCAACACATGATGAGCGTCAACCACTGTCGTTTCAGGTGTGAGGATCCTGGATGGCAACATCACAGACTCCCTGGAGGCGGAGGCACTGAACTTCAACATGGACTACATCGACATCTTCAGTGCATCATGGGGCCCTAAGGACGATGGTCGCACTCTGGAGGGGCCGGGCAAGATGGCCACTGAAGCTTTAAGGAAGGGAGTGAAAGAGGTACATTGTTCTCTGTCTGGTTCATTGCAGTGCTTTTGGTGATATCATTTAGTCTGTTGTGCTGTTGGTTATAACCTGGGCTAACACCAGTTGCTGTGCCAATTTGAGGTTCTTTCTTTTACTTGGTGCTGTGCTGTTGTTTATATCACCTGGTGCTGTCCTGTCAGTTATGTCCATTAGCCAGTTGTTGTGCTATTGGTTATATATTTTGGTATGTCAATGAGCTATTGGTTATATCCTTTTGTCTGCGATTGTAGTTATATCCTTCAGAATGTTGATGAGTTATTGGTTATATCCTTCTGGATGTTGATGAGGTGTTGGTTATATCCTTCAGAATGTTGATGAGTTATTGGTTATATCCTTCGGAATGTTGATGAGCTATTGGTTATATCCATTTGTCTGCGATTGTAGTTATATCCTTCAGAATGTTGATGAGTTATTGGTTATATCCTTCAGAATGTTGATGAGCTATTGGTTATATCCATTTGTCTGCGATTGTAGTTATATCCTTCAGAATGTTGATGAGTTATTGGTTATATCCTTCAGAATGTTGATGAGCTATTGGTTATATCCTTCAGAATGTTGATGAGTTATTGGTTATATCCTTCAGAATGTTGATGAGTTATTGGTTATATCCTTTAGAATGTTGATGAGTTATTGGTTATATCCTTTAGAATGTTGATGAGTTATTGGTTATATCCTTCAGAATGTTTATTGGTTATATCCTTCAGAATGTTGATGAGTTATTGGTTATATCCTTCAGAATGTTGATGAGTTATTGGTTATATCCTTCAGAATGTTGATGAGTTATTGGTTATATCCTTCAGAATGTTGATGAGTTATTGGTTATATCCTTCAGAATGTTGATGAGTTATTGGTTATATCCTTCAGAATGTTGATGAGTTATTGGTTATATCCTTCAGAATGTTGATGAGCTCCTTCAGAATGTTGATGAGTTATTGGTTATATCCTTCAGAATGTTGATGAGAGTTATTGGTTATATCCTTCAAATGTTGATGAGTTATTGGTTATATCCTTCAGAATGTTGATGAGTTATTGGTTATATCCTTCAGAATGTTGATGAGTTATTGGTTATATCCTTCAGAATGTTGATGAGTTATTGGTTATATCCTTCAGAATGTTGATGAGTTATTGGTTATATCCTTCAGAATGTTGATGAGTTATTGGTTATATCCTTCAGAATGTTGATGAGTTATTGGTTATATCCTTCAGAATGTTGATGAGTTATTGGTTATATCCTTCAGAATGTTGATGAGTTATTGGTTATATCCTTCAGAATGTTGATGAGTTATTGGTTATATCCTTCAGAATGTTGATGAGTTATTGGTTATATCCTTCAGAATATTGATGAGTTATTGGTTATATCCTTCAGAATGTTGATGAGTTATTGGTTATATCCTTCAGAATGTTGATGAGTTATTGGTTATATCCTTCAGAATGTTGATGAGTTATTGGTTATATCCTTCAGAATGTTGATGAGCTATTGGTTATATCCTTCAGAATATTGATGAGTTATTGGTTATATCCTTCAGAATGTTGATGAGTTATTGGTTATATCCTTCAGAATGTTGATGAGTTATTGGTTATATCCTTCAGAATATTGATGAGTTATTGGTTATATCCTTCAGAATGTTGATGAGTTATTGCTTATATCCTTCAGAATGTTGATGAGTTATTGGTTATATCCTTCAGAATGTTGATGAGTTATTGGTTATATCCTTCAGAATATTGATGAGTTATTGGTTATATCCTTCAGAATATTGATGAGTTATTGGTTATATCCTTCAGAATGTTGATGAGTTATTGGTTATATCCTTCAGAATATTGATGAGTTATTGGTTATATCCTTCAGAATGTTGATGAGTTATTGGTTATATCCTTTTGTCTGCGATTGTAGTTATATCCTTCAGAATGTTGATGAGTTATTGGTTATATCCTTCTGGATGTTGATGAGTTATTGGTTATATCCTTCAGAATGTTGATGAGTTATTGGTTATATCCTTCAGAATGTTGATGAGTTATTGGTTATATCCTTTTGTCTGCGATTGTACTTATATCCTTCAGAATATTGATGAGTTATTGGTTATATCCTTCAGAATGTTGATGAGTTATTGGTTATATCCTTCAGAATATTGATGAGTTATTGGTTATATCCTTCAGAATGTTGATGAGTTATTGGTTATATCCTTCAGAATATTGATGAGTTATTGGTTATATCCTTTTGTCTGTGATTGTAGTTATATCCTTCAGAATGTTGATGAGCTATTGGTTATATCCTTCAGAATGTTGATGAGTTATTGGTTATATCCTTTAGAATGTTGATGAGTTATTGGTTATATCCTTCAGAATGTTGATGAGTTATTGGTTATATCCTTCAGAATGTTGATGAGTTATTGGTTATATCCTTCAGAATGTTGATGAGTTATTGGTTATATCCTTCAGAATATTGATGAGTTATTGGTTATATCCTTCAGAATGTTGATGAGTTATTGGTTATATCCTTCAGAATGTTGATGAGTTATTGGTTATATCCTTCAGAATGTTGATGAGTTATTGGTTATATCCTTCAGAATGTTGATGAGTTATTGGTTATATCCTTCAGAATGTTGATGAGCTATTGGTTATATCCTTCAGAATGTTGATGAGTTATTGGTTTATATCCTTCAGAATGTTGATGAGTTATTGGTTATATCCTTCAGAATGTTGATGAGTTATTGGTTATATCCTTCAGAATGTTGATGAGTTATTGGTTATATCCTTCAGAATGTTGATGAGTTATTGGTTATATCCTTCAGAATATTGATGAGTTATTGGTTATATCCTTCAGAATGTTGATGAGTTATTGGTTATATCCTTCAGAATGTTGATGAGTTATTGGTTATATCCTTCAGAATGTTGATGAGTTATTGGTTATATCCTTCAGAATGTTGATGAGTTATTGGTTATATCCTTCAGAATGTTGATGAGTTATTGGTTATATCCTTCAGAATGTTGATGAGTTATTGGTTATATCCTTCAGAATGTTGATGAGTTATTGGTTATATCCTTCAGAATGTTGATGAGTTATTGGTTATATCCTTCAGAATATTGATGAGTTATTGGTTATATCCTTCAGAATGTTGATGAGTTATTGGTTATATCCTTCAGAATGTTGATGAGTTATTGGTTATATCCTTCAGAATGTTGATGAGTTATTGGTTATATCCTTCAGAATGTTGATGAGTTATTAGTTATATCCTTCAGAATATTGATGAGTTATTGGTTATATCCTTCAGAATGTTGATGAGTTATTGGTTATATCCTTCAGAATGTTGATGAGTTATTGGTTATATCCTTCAGAATGTTGATGAGTTATTGGTTATATCCTTCAGAATGTTGATGAGTTATTGGTTATATCCTTCAGAATGTTGATGAGTTATTGGTTATATCCTTCAGAATGTTGATGAGTTATTGGTTATATCCTTCAGAATGTTGATGAGTTATTGGTTATATCCTTCAGAATGTTGATGAGTTATTGGTTATATCCTTCAGAATATTGATGAGTTATTGGTTATATCCTTCAGAATGTTGATGAGTTATTGGTTATATCCTTCAGAATGTTGATGAGTTATTGGTTATATCCTTCAGAATGTTGATGAGTTATTGGTTATATCCTTCAGAATGTTGATGAGCTATTGGTTATATCCTTCAGAATATTGATGAGTTATTGGTTATATCCTTCAGAATGTTGATGAGTTATTGGTTATATCCTTCAGAATGTTGATGAGTTATTGGTTATATCCTTCAGAATATTGATGAGTTATTGGTTATATCCTTCAGAATGTTGATGAGTTATTGCTTATATCCTTCAGAATGTTGATGAGTTATTGGTTATATCCTTCAGAATGTTGATGAGTTATTGGTTATATCCTTCAGAATATTGATGAGTTATTGGTTATATCCTTCAGAATATTGATGAGTTATTGGTTATATCCTTCAGAATGTTGATGAGTTATTGGTTATATCCTTCAGAATATTGATGAGTTATTGGTTATATCCTTCAGAATGTTGATGAGTTATTGGTTATATCCTTTTGTCTGCGATTGTAGTTATATCCTTCAGAATGTTGATGAGTTATTGGTTATATCCTTCTGGATGTTGATGAGTTATTGGTTATATCCTTCAGAATGTTGATGAGTTATTGGTTATATCCTTTTGTCTGCGATTGTACTTATATCCTTCAGAATATTGATGAGTTATTGGTTATATCCTTCAGAATGTTGATGAGTTATTGGTTATATCCTTCAGAATATTGATGAGTTATTGGTTATATCCTTCAGAATGTTGATGAGTTATTGGTTATATCCTTCAGAATATTGATGAGTTATTGGTTATATCCTTTTGTCTGTGATTGTAGTTATATCCTTCAGAATGTTGATGAGCTATTGGTTATATCCTTCAGAATATTGATGAGTTATTGGTTATATCCTTTTGTCTGTGATTGTAGTTATATCCTTCAGAATATTGATGAGTTATTGGTTATATCCTTCAGAATGTTGATGAGTTATTGGTTATATCCTTCAGAATATTGATGAGTTATTGGTTATATCCTTCAGAATATTGATGAGTTATTGGTTATATCCTTCAGAATGTTGATGAGTTATTGGTTATATCCTTCAGAATATTGATGAGTTATTGGTTATATCCTTCAGAATGTTGATGAGTTATTGGTTATATCCTTTTGTCTGCGATTGTAGTTATATCCTTCAGAATGTTGATGAGTTATTGGTTATATCCTTCTGGATGTTGATGAGTTATTGGTTATATCCTTCAGAATGTTGATGAGTTATTGGTTATATCCTTTTGTCTGCGATTGTACTTATATCCTTCAGAATATTGATGAGTTATTGGTTATATCCTTCAGAATGTTGATGAGTTATTGGTTATATCCTTCAGAATATTGATGAGTTATTGGTTATATCCTTCAGAATGTTGATGAG